TTGAATGCTGATGTCAAAAAGCAACGAGCCATGGCCACCTCAGGTAAAGCTCAGGGACGCTCTGGCCAGGGGAAACACCTGGGAGATGGAGAAGGGCCAGAGCAGGGAGAAGCATCAGAGCTCCTGGTCTGGGGGCTCAGCCCATGGCAGATCTTTTGAGATGCTTTTTGCAATCAAACACATGACAGCTGGAGCCACAGTTGCTGTCTTGAGCTGCTTGAGAAAGAGAGTTTTTAAAATGTTTCTAAAAGTCCCAGTTTTGTGAACATCTATACATATATAGAGAGATTTGAAATAACTTTCTGACAGAAATAATAAATACCCGGGATAATCATTTCTGATGAGCACTTCTGTAACTTTCTTAACTGCCTGAGTCTGCAAACAGGGCTGAGAGGGAGATTGCCCATGAAAACTCTGATAGTCTCCACTTTTGATCACAGTAGAAATAATCTAAGAGCAGATTTTTCAAGGAGAAATACATCGTTTCTTCTTCTGGGTGTCAAAAGGCCACAAGCTAATGGAAAAGAATGAAAAGGATACCATTAATATCTACTGTTTCTGTAACACTTTTCATCCCAGGATCTCAAAGCAAGGGGTGACCAATAGCCACTATTAACCCCACTTTACAGGGGAAATAACAAAGTCTTAGCAAGGTTAAGTAACTTGCCCAAAGCTACACAGCAAGTCAGTGGCAAGACACAGAAAAAAAAATAAAGCCCTGCACTCATAGGTGGATTTGTGAAGAGTTTGTCCAAGCTCCTGCAGTCCAAGCTCTCTCCAAGAGACTGCCAGGCAGCCCAGCCTATAGATTTGGGAGCTCAGGACAAGTCTCACAGAGGAGCCAGGCAACTGCTTCAGACCTGGGCAGCTTTGCTATAAATGGCTACAGGTAAGTGAAACAAATGCCAGCCTCACTGGTTTTAATTGCATTTATTTCCTTGTCCCTAGCCACGGGGCAGAGGCATTTTACAGGGAATAGGTTGTTGAAGCAGAAGCAGAAGTGGTAAATCATGTAGGCTCTGTGGTTTCTGTCCATAAACCTTTCCTTTGGTTTCTGACTAATGCCCACAGATTTTAGGCTAAATTCATTTTGGTTTTAACTGGGTTTCATGGTGAAACACTTCTGATGCAATACATACTGCATCGTTTCCTTCTGCAGAAGCTCAAGAGGGAAGGGCCCGTGTCAGGTACCTCTTGGGGAGGACCCCTATGCTCTTGGAGCCCTCCTCTGCTCCCTGTCAGCAGATTTCTGGCTACATTTATTCCACAGGGTGGTGAATCCAATCCCTGGCCTACTCTGTCCTCACAAACCTAGACAGTCAGATTTTGAACCCATTTAATTTGGACTGCCTTGCCTGGTTTTCCTCTGTAGCATTTTACTCTAGCTGCTTCTCTAAATCAAGTTCCTTTTCATTCATGGCAATGCACTGAAGCACTTGATTTTCAGCAAGGAATGGTGTCACCATTTTGCCTCTAATAAAGCAGAAAAAAAATAGCTTTCAATCAATCAGGGTCTATTTAACACATTAGCAATTTTCTTTCATTTTTCTGTCATCCTGCATTAACAGCCGTGGGGTCAGATCCCACCCTGGTGTAATTCCAAAGGAGTAACACTAGGAATGAGCTTCACCCATTATCTCTAATGTTGCTAAAAAGGTCTCGATAATAGATTTTTTAAGTTCTTGATTCTGAATACTAATCAAGTCCTTTAAAAAGAGCACTCGAGTGGGATGCTACTAAAACAAATATGCTCTGGTATTTTACACCATATCTTTCAGTTCTGTTGCTCATTTCTGTGTGAATATATGAGTATTGGGAAGTCATTTTCTGCCATGAGGTTTGTTCTCAAGCAGCACATGGGTGATCCATCCCCTACGTATATGCTCCCCATGCAGCCTCCCACAGAAACCCAAGAGCCAGCCCAGAGGACATCCAGACACATGCAGGATGTCCTAGCCAAGGGTCCTCCTTCACCGACCAGTTTCCCCCAGCTCTCCAGAGGACAGTCCCCACCACAGCTCGCCAGCAGCACCCTGTGACACACACACACAGAAACTCCAGCTCAGTAGCTCCTGGCTATCTCTGCCCGATGTCCCAGTGGGCATCAAGTACCTCCAACAGAGCCATCACAGCACAGGAGCAAAGTAAGTGCAGCACTGTGTTATACCTCCTGCATTTTCACCCTCAGATATATGCTTTGCACTACCTCCCTGGTGCACTGGGCACAGCCAGTGCTCCACGCAGGCTCTCTTGCTGGGAGATCTGGGGCTGCACCTCATCCTCTCCCTTCTAGCACTGCTTTCCCTTTTACCACCCTCTCTGCTGGCACCAGGCCCCCCTTTCCCTGCAGCTTTGGGCTGAGGGTACAGGAGAGCAGTGTGGCTGTCCAGGAGCCTGCCTGGCCACATGTCCCCAGCAGACAGTCACTGTCATCACCCTGAGGGTAAACAGGGGGGCACCAAAAGCCGTTTAGAGCCAGGGAGGAATCAAACCATGCTTGAATATGCTGGTGACTCAACATCACACCAGAGTCCCCAAGGTGAGAGTCACCATCTGACTCAAAGCATAAGTGCAGTAACTCTTCCCCACAGGTCCCTACCTGCAGCCCACAGGTTGTCTTATTCTTCCTGATATCCAGGGCACCCTGCATGAAACAAAATGAAGCCCTGACCCTCATATCCAGCACAACCCCAGGTGTTCCCCCAGGGTTATCCTGACTGACTGGTGAGTGCAAAACATGACCACCTAGGCTGAGAGATGAGTTTTGCTTTGTGCTGGGGATTAGCTCAGGAACACACACAACGAGTCTGCCTGTTTTTCAGGGGGCAACTCTAAAAGTGACTGAGCTCATGTGAGCATCTAAATGTCACTACTGCTGGCAGCTGCTGCTAAAAACAAGAGGAGTTAGAGCTCTGTTTTCAAAAAGCAGTGCCTTGGTGGGATTTCAGACCTCCCCGAGGGAGATCAGGCCTATGTGGATGTCTTAGATGCTGCTTAGGCACTGATGACATTCACATGGGCCAGGGGCTGCTTCCATGGCTTTTCTCATTTCCCTGGCTGTCTACTAGTTCAGTCCAGTTCACTCTTTTCCCAGTTTTTTTTCTAGTGAAAAAGATATTTGGAACCTAGGTTTGAACCAGTGCTGTCTGGAAAAGACAAAATCTGATCTCCAGAATCCCCAAAATAAACAAGAGTGAACATGTCACATATTGCTGTTTTATCATCTATATTCCCCCCCCCCCCCCACCCAGTTTGTGACAGTGAAAACCCCAGACATAAGTTTTTCTTCTGAACAAGGACAGGCTCTCACCCCACAAAATCACAGAATCACAGAATAATCAGAGTTGGAAGGGACCCTTGAGCATCATCTAGTCCAACTCCTGGCCCTGCACAAGACATCTCTGATAATCACACCATGTGCCTGAGAGCATTGTCCAATCCCTCTTGAACTCTGTCAGGGTTGGGGCTGTGACAACTTCCCTGGGAAGCTGTTCCAGTGCCAAATCACCCTCTGGGAGAAGAATAATTTTCTAATATCCAGCCTAAACCTCTCCTGATGCAACTTCAGACCATTCTCTTGGGTCCTGTCACTGGTTGTCAGAGAGGAGAGATCAGTGCTGCTCCTCCACTTCCTTCCATGAGGAAGTTGTATACAGGGATGAAGTCTCCCCTTCTCCAGGCTCAACAGACCAAGTGACCTCAGACCCTTCTCATATGGCTTCCCCTCAAGGCCCTTCACCACCTTCGTTGCCTCCTTTGGACGCTCTCCAATAACTAATAACAATAAACACTGTTAAAAGCTTAGATACCTCTTTGGTCAGAAAAGAAACACAAATAGAGAGATGAGTAATAGGAGCTCTTTCTTTGGGAGCTCAGGCCCTCCTCCATCTCTGAAGGGTCACACGGCTGGTTTAATACAGCAAACCCCACACAGTTCAGGTGTTCAGATAATCTCTGGCTAGCAAAGCATTACACTTACAGGAGATGCTCCCACAGCTGTTTAGCACTTTGAGAAATCTTTTCCTTAAGTACCTAAACATGAATTTATTTACTGGGAATTCTTACAGTCTAACAACACCCAAAACTGTGCTAACACATCAGGATATATCTTCAGGATATATTTTCCTGAAGCCTGCTGCTTAGAGAAAAAAACCCTGCATACTAAATTACATCCATGGCATATCCCAGGCTCATAATCACCGACTCTGTCTCTCCACAGGCAAATCACATGCCCCTGAGCACACAGCCAGCAGGGTCACACCACGCACAGCACTGAGATCCTGCACACCCTTCCCACCTCTGCAGGATGGCTGGTGCTGAGGAACAACCCAGGCTTCCCCACCAGCGATGCCTCTGATTTACACCCAGCAGGACACTGCTCTCTGCCCCGTCCTGCATGTGACTTGGCAGGAGCTGCTGGAGGGCTCTGGGATGTGTTCCCTCTCCCTGCCATGCTACCCCCTCACCAGTGCCACCCCTCCCTGCAGGGGGAAAAGTCAGGGATCAGCAGGCAAGAATGAGGGTTACATCACGACAGTTCTCCAACACAGCACAGCGAGGAAGCTCAAGAGACACTAATTTCTCTCCTTGCCCGGCTAAAAGTTGCAAGTTACAGAGTTATGCTCTCACTTCCAAAGCCTGATGGTTATGGTTTGATGGGGAAGGAGGGAAGGCAACGTAAGTAATTAACACTTCCTTTCAGCATCATCAGGCAGGAGTTTGCTGCAAAGCACAAGCCAATATATACATCTAGTGAACAGCAATCCTGTACTTTATTTCAGGTCTATTGGGCATTGCAGGAAAAACACGAAAGATTGTGTTATTCTGCAGGAGCAGTTTCCTTGGGAAAGTATACCCAGACATTTAATCCCAGGAATATTTATAGTTAGCATAACTCAAATGGTGTTCTGCATGCAGTTGGTTAGTCTAAAGTGGAGCGTCATGCAGCTTGCATTAATGCTGGCAAAGGCACTTTATGGAGAAACAGACTTTATGCTTACAATTATCCCAGCCCAATATGGAGTGTCTCTGACTAGCAGAGAAGAACTGATGCCTGCCATAAGGAAGCCCAGCACTGTTACAGGGGTGCCTAATGCCAGCTGCAACAAAGCAAGCAGCAGCGGGAAACGGCAGCCACAACAAGTGTGGGATTCCTCCTCCTGGCCCGTTTTGGAATCCCCCTTGGCTTTCTTCTGCTTCTTCTTCTTCTTCGTCGCGGACTCCTGCGTCTTGCTCGAGTCGGTGCTTCTCTCCCCTTCAGGTGCCTTCCCTGCCTGGCTCTGGTTATTCGGGGACGTGCCGTGCTGGGGTTTCTTCTCCTTTCCCATGCTGATGAACTTTAGGTTTTCACGTGCGTGTGTGTGTGCGCGCACGGGTGGGGGTGTGAGTTTTTTGCCCCCCAAAGCTTCGCTTTGTGCTGGCTGAGTTGTTCCTGGTATTTGAATCAAGGAGGCTGAACAAATATGGAAAACATTTGGAGCAGATTGTCAGAGCTTCGAAATGCCACATATAGCCCAGAGAAGAGGGGGATTCAAGGGGGGTAGTGAACTGCCAACGTGCAGGCGCCAAGCTGGTTGTGCACACACAGCTGAGCATGTGTGCTGCCACGGCTACTGAGGTGTGTGTATGTGTGTGTGTGTGCCTGTGGAGGAGCTGGTCAGGGAAACAGCAAGCAGAAATTCTGCACTGCCAGCTGATGAACAGGAGGGAAATCTGTCTCACCAGGGAGCCAGGAGCAATCAAGTGCCTGCGCAGGGAACAGGCAGGTAGGAGCTCATCATGCCAGTGGCTCCCCTGAGGATCAGAGTGTAACCCACGCAGCACCATGCACATTTCATACCCCTGCTGAATCAGATTAAATAGGTGCATTCCAGTGGGAGGGAGCTGACTACGTGTATGGAAAGTATGAAATTAACACAAATAAAAATTCAAATTAATATCCTGGGGAGCCAAAAGGAATCCTTGTCTCTTCACAAAAGTTGCAAAAGCACAGCTAGGCATGTTTTATAATGAGGCAGACAGCAATGAGGACTGGTGCTTCTGTACAGGTAGTGGCAGAGTATGGAGCTGAACATCCACTGAGCATGTTTCCAGGGCTGCAAGTTACCTGTACCAGGAAGACTGTTTTTTACAAGAGAGAGAGATATGTCATTGTGGACATGTGGTGACTGCACTTTGCCCATTTATCGGCTCTTGGGGACAGCACACCAAAATAAGTGGTGGGTTTTCTTCCTGAAATACTCAAAAATTGTGCTGCAGCTGAATCCATCAGTGGAAGCCCTGGTAGAACCTCTTGGACACTGTTGGGGCTCCCCAGGGGCAGTGGACGTGCCAGAAGCACTGGGGTCTGCAGAGCTAGACATTGGACACTAGGTGTGTGAACGGGGGGAACAAGAAGAAGTTGGTGGTGAGCAGTCCTGCGCTGGGGGCTGTGTGTTCAGCCGTGTCCTGTGCATGTGTCCTCACAAGGGAAGACTGTGGGAAGAGGGAGGCTGCTCAAGCCAGAGGAATTACTCAAAAGCTTAGGGGTAAACAGATGCGTAAATGCTTTGTTGGCCCAGGGCTGAGTGTGTACAGCCTGATGTATTGCCCTCCTAGGAGCAAGGAGTGGCATTGGGGCCAGCAGAGCCCAAAACATCTCCTCTGTGCGTGCAGCTCCATGTCCCCATGGTCACAGGGACACTGTGAGGACATGAGGGCTTGTGCTGCTGCCCCTCCAACACCAATGTGAGCACTATAAATGGACCAGCCAGCTCTGGCCCCACCATTTGGCTGTTGTGGGGTTTTTTTCCTTCCCACAGAAGCAGATGACAGGGGCAAAGGATTGGGAGGAGTGGGGCAGGTGGGAAGAAGACATCAGGGGTTGGGGAAACCACCAAAGGTGCCTTTGAATGCTGCAGAGCAGTTCAGCTGGGATTACCCAAAATGTTGAAATACTCAGAGAGGATCTTACATGAGCTGAGATAGCATCAAGGAAATCTTTCCTCTGACATACTGGCAATGTCTTCTGAGAAACTAGTCTATTTCCAGCTCTTTATGGCATTTAACAGCAATGAACTGTGTCTTCTATATTAATAAATTATGATGTCACTTTGTTTTATGGGTTAAACAATATCCTCTTTGGTTATTTATAATACCGAACGGATGAAAGAAAACTAGAAACAAAGTGATTTCAGGCACTTTCTGCACACATAACTCTCGTGCTACATTCATAGAGCAAGATTAAGATATATGTTCCAAAAAGGAAGAGGAAAAGAAACTAGGGATGAAAAAAATTTGAAAAAAACTCCCTTCTCCAGGCATGCTGCTTACTGCACCGTGTTTTCATCGCTTCTCACCAAGATGTTTTGTCACTATCATCTCCTTTTTAAAATATTCTTACAATAGCTTTCAGTCACTGGTGTACCTTGTCTCTCAAAGCCGCATGCAATTATATTTAACCACAGCTTTGAGAGGGATGGGGTGTTCAAGGATCATCACCAAGGTCAGACAAGGAAGCAGTGACAAAGCTGAGAACACATTTTACAGGTGCCCAGTGTAACATCTATCCTAATAATTAGTATTAGAGTTAAATGAAGTTAAATTTTCTTTCCCTTTTTGCCTGTCCATTTCACCAGTTCTAGCCCACAGATCTTTACTGTGATTTTTTCCCCCAGGAAAATCCCTGGGTTTAGCACCTCGATTTGTGCTGGCAGCTAGATTCATTGTCTTCTAAAAGGTGCCAAAATCCAACTGCTTTATTC